CAGCCACTAAAAAGGACAGGTGCAGACTGCAGTGGACTTTATGGGCAGCAAAAAAGTTCATTGGAGCCCCCCTGCCCTCCATCCAGGACTGGTACCTCTCAAGAACCAGAAAACAGGCAGGGGGAATCATCACAGATTTCTCACACCCTGGACACAGACCTTTTGACCTGCTGCCTTCTGGCAGATGGTATAGAAGCCTGCAGACCAGGACCACCCAACACAGGAACAGTTTCTTTCCCCTTGCTATTTCCCTCCTAAACCGTTGAACTGTCACATTGCTTCACACTGCCAGATTGCAACTGCAGTTTATGTACACTCTGTGGTATTCATTTCTGTAATCTTGTATTTTCTGTATATAAGGATTTAGATGTTTTTATATTGTGGTTTATGTATATTGTTCATTGTGTCGCTCATATATTGTGTATTTTACATTGTTGTGCTTGAGAGACACCAGCGACCGGAACCATATTCCTTGTATGTGTTTGTGCATGCATACTTGGCTAATAAATGCGATTCGGATTCTGATCATTTTTTTCCCATTACTTTTATTTCTTGTGGGCTCTCCTTTCTTTATTCATTTTTTTCCTTTTAGAAAATATAATACAAAATATACAAAAGTGTATATTGAAAGGGTTTTGTCTTGCAGTTTTGTATTCAGACTACACTTTCAAATCATAAATGTTAAATCACCAAGATACAGGACCAAATAAAAATATTACCTTTGTAATACACACATACCTTTGAGTAAAAGACCGGATAAGCCACAGTAGATCGGAAATTTTGAATGGAAAAAACACAAGATGTGTGGTGTTGTCCAAATTTTTGAAACTCCTTGGATACATCACATGGTATGTTGTTTTGTTTCCAACATCTCTTTCAAAGCCTTTTGTGGGCCCACGGTTTATTCTAAAAAGCACAGAAGATATATCGTTCATATTATCATCTATTGGATGATATATGTAGAATGAACGTCCATACTGGGGAAAGAAAATATCTTATTCAATTGAGTTTTAAAGGTTTTAGCAATGCTTACAGATATTTAAAGATAACACATGCATGAAGATTTCAAAATAGTATGTTCTACTCTTACCTTATAACAATATCATGAAAGTCTATCAGTGGTCCATAATGCGATCCATTGAGATTACCAGAATTCCCAACCACAGCACAAGTTCTACAAAGGTCAGGGCTGGATCTTGTGAAATTGACTTTGGTTGGGAAGATCTGAAAAACCTTGTCCACTGTTTTATTGTAGAAAGCGAAGTTGCGTCTGTCTGTCTGTATGCGCTGACATAACAAAAGTAATTAATTAATTTGTTGAGTTTACTAGCTTTTTTGTACTAACTGATTATTTTGAGAGTATATTTATTTAAAAAAAAATCCCTATTAGCACTGGAAATTTGGTTAAAAAGATGATAATGACTTGTCTTTGAAATCAGTAAAAAAAAGTATACATACATTTAAAATACAGAAGTTAACATTTACCTTCCACCAGTTAAATGTATCCTCTGAGATATTGTTTGTGGGTGATAGAAAGGGCTCAGGAGATTCTTTCATAAGTTCACTAAGCCATGGGTCATATTCCATTAAACATTTGTTGCAGGCACAAACACTTTCATTCTGAGGGAGGAAGAAATCCTGGTACACATTTAAAATCCATGAAGCTCTTGAAATGACTCCAATGGCAAGGACACACAGCAAGACAAAGAAAACTAATGGTTTCCTCTGAAGCATCTTCACACCTTGATATTCTTGAAAGAGGATCTGATCCGTTCTGTAGATACATTACAAAACACAGGATTTAACAATGGGATAACACATGACCATACAGAATCACGTCATCACGCCGCAAACAAGACCAAACTGTTTATTACCACAATGATACTCAAAACAAGACCTTAACCAATATTAAAATCAATTTGTTACATCCTAAATGATAGGATGCAACTAATGTCTACAAACATGCTTGGACTAATTGTTACTTCCACATCTCCAAAAGTTAATTCTGTTCATCTGGACATAGCGTTTTCAGTGGGAGAAACATTTCGTCACTCATCCAAGTGACTTCTTCAGACTCAGCTGACTGCAGGTTTCCCCACTCTTATAAGAAGTGCATTTGCACCATGACTGAAACCGGCCCACTGAAGGAACAATGGGCTGGGAGGTCAGTTCCTTAATCATAATTACGCAAATTCTCATGACCATTGATCAACAACCACTGATCAAAGCCCACTGATCAATGGCCATGAGTACCATTCACAGAGAGTTGGGGAATTGGCTGCAATCACAGCATTGTATGATGGCAAAATATGTACCCTTAGGCCCCCTCCACAATTCAGAGATGGTCTTTCCCTTTTTACATAAATGGCGTCCTTGAATCCCCGCTCAAACCAGCATTCCTCCCTGTCCAGGATGTGTACATCCTCATCAGTGAAAGAGTGTCCACTGGCCTGTAGGTGTAAATAGAATGAGGAGTCCTGGCCTGACAAGGTAGCCCTTCTGTGTTATGGCATCCACTTCGCCAGAGGTTGTTTGGTTTCCCCGATATATAAATCCTGGAAATCCTCCTGGCACTTAACAGGGTACACTATGTGTTGGAGTCAAATTGTTAAATGTTGTCATTGTGTTTCTTAAATTTGTAAAGTCTTAGTTCAAGCAGCATAATCAAAGACATTCCTTTGTCTCTGACCAACTCTCCAGCTACTCTGGTGCTGGGGGAGGCTTTATTATAGGCACATCCTATCTGAAAGATCTGTTTCTTGTGTGGTAAGCTCCCTGCTTTTATGACCCTTTTGGTGAGCAGGAGATCACACAAACGCACCCCCAAACACATTCTCACATATACACGCACACATTCTCACTCACACACACACACGCACATGCATACAGGTGCTTATACGTGCACACACATACGCACATAGTGCCTTGTCTTTTAGAACCATAGGGGGGTTTACGAGGGGAGGTGCTTGCGTAAACTGTAAACTGTAACTGTCATGGAAATAAATAGCTGCGAGGACTGCTTGTTGAAGAAGTTGGGTTGGAGATAGGTGAGGAGTCTTGAGCTCCAAGAGCTTGGTTCCGAACAGCCTTCCCTTGCTAGCAAGTAAAAACCACTGAAAGGAGGTCTAAGAAGGTTTCTCCACCGAAAGGAGGTCTGTTGGTGCCTACTTTGTGTGTGAACGCGCGCGTGAGTTTTTGCGGCCCAGACGTGGTCTGTTTAAGTGTGGCTGATTGTTGTCTTGTAATGGGGAATAAACTGATTAAGTCTGCCTTGAAAGGGGATGAAATACACTGTAAAGTATTTACCCGGGCAGCACGTAGTATGTAGATCGTTGAAGAAAGAAGTGAAATTGTGCATAAAGCAGAAGTGAGTGTGAATGTGTCTGATGTCACGGTGTGTGTGAGCCACAGTGAGGTGTGAAAGTATTTGAGTGAAGTGGTCTCGAACTGGGGAAGAGATGATTCTGCAGGTCACTTTCTAACCCAGTGGACAAAAGAAATAACATTTGTGTTGATGAAATATGAATGATAAATGAAGAGTGTTTGGTGTTTCTCAGCCTGAAACAACTGTAATCCCACTTTCTGTTTTTAAGAAAGGAGGGTTCCAAAAAAAAAAAAAACAGAGAGAGAGAGAGAGACGTGTGTTGTTTAAGCAGTGATAAGAATAATGAAAATGTCTTAGTTTGTCACTTTTAGGTGAAAAGCAGACCTGGATCAATTTTTCACATGCAGCAGTTGGAAGAAAACTATAGGTTTAACATCATTACGAAACACTCAGGCCGAGCTTTTGGCTGAGTGGTGTTTACAGCTTAACTCCCATGTGTTCCTCACCCTGAGAAAACAAGCTCCACGGAAGCTAACCTCTGCCTGAAACCAAGGAGTGCAGTTCCAGAAGCACAAGCAGGAACATCAACAGTTGGCAGCAGCCCAAGAGACAACAGCAGAGTCCTGAGTAGGAAGGTCCAGCAGCAGTGTGTAAACTTGAGAAGGAGTCTGGACTACAAAATGAGAAAGGTACACAAAAACACACACAAACAGGAAATGCATTAACCATACTAACCCTACATACACATACAATGACACTCATAAAGACCAGACAGTTTCTAAGCATGAGATTCTGTTTGTCATCTTGTCCAAGTCACTAGTAAGATGAAAAGTCATACATAGACTAGTGTCTAATATTATAGGAGGACAGATGATTGCATTATAACCTGGAAGAAAACAGAATGCTGATGAGGGGTCTTGAATGAGTGAGCTGATTGTTGAGTTTCTGGTGTGTGAAGAAGTTTTAACATGGCACACATTTGGTTACATGAGAAGAAACTCATTATGTGATAAGACAACAGGGTTATGTTTTGTTGTGTGGCTGATTGGATGAATATTTGAGATTAAATTGGCTGATGATTTGTCTTTTGTTACAAAGTTGAGCCTGCCATTTAGGTTTGGTATGATTTCCTCCCTGAGACGGAGAACAAGTGTCATGACTTAAAAAGGAAAAGAAAAGAAAGAAAGGCTTCGTTATTTTGTTACTTTCATAGTGCACTGAAAGTTTTGTTTGATCATTTAAGTGAGTTTCTCCAAATTAAAATGGACTCGGGAGAAATCCACTTATTTGGGACAATCAAAAAGCAAGTCTCTGTGTAAAAGGATTCAACAAGGTCTAAATACTTTTTCTTTTTTGAAATGTCATCGTTTTGCTGAGGGTGGAAACAAAATGCGATGATAGGTTCCACTATCAGCAAAGAAAGAAAGAAAGAAAGAAAGAAAGAAAGAAAGAAAGAAAGATGAGTGAAAATAAATAATAGGGACTGACTGGACTGACAAAAGCTTGACTGACTTGACCACTATGCAAGGTTAACCCCCACCCAGATGTGACAAAGGGTGGATGTATCTATGTGTGTGTGTGTCTCTTGTTGCAGGAGCAGGAGGAGACCAGAGGAAACTTGGGTCACATGACTATGTGCAAATTTAAGCTTTTTAGCTGTAATTTTTCTGGGTGTTTGTGAATTTACCAAGGGTGTGTTATTCACCACCTTGTGTTGCTCACAGAGGTCACTGTGAGAAAGTGTGTATACACCTGCGCAGGGCTAACATTTACATTACTTTTCTACCGCAGAGGGTTAATCTTGTGATTTACAGTAGGACACATAACTTTATGTTTTTCTACCACAGGATTACTGGGTTTTTGTGTCAAGGGAACTGTGTTTACAGGCTGTGTGTTGGTGATGCAATTACACTGTGTTGTTGAGAAAATGTTGGAGAAAATGTGATTGTTACAGGGAAGAAGTGAATACAGTGTGAGAAATATTGTGTTGAAACCAGTGTTATTTCTTTTTATAGCAGAGTGTTAACTTTATGACATTTTATTGCACCTCTGGAACCTGACCTAAGCCTGACCTCCAGGATGATCCGTGTGTTTGGCTAATGTTTGTTTTCCTTTAAGAGTGCTTGTAAAGAATTCAGCACAGACAGACGTGACAATTGAACAGATGTGTAGTGATTGTGGAATAGTTTAATATGGGGCTCATTATCTGACCACTATTGAACTCATAGTGAATGACAAATTTAAGGAAAGTCACTGATTACAATGTGGAATGAAGTTGAGATGATTCATGACTTGGAGCAAATTATGGGAAAAAAAAGTAGAGGTTTAATGATCTAGAATAAACCTGCAATGATACTTGTCTCTGTGATGCTGAATACTTTATTACTCTTATGAGCTACAGTTGTTTGGAAATGTGAAGTTGTTTTAACTTAAAGACTTTGTCTTCAAGGATACAGGCTCCGGGTGGAGCTGGGAGTTAAACAGATCTTAACATTTAACTGCTGACTAATGTTTTTAAACAGCGTTACATATTTGGAGTGGAGTGGAGCTGCTCCGAGAATGGTTCCTGCATTTATGATTCTCACATATACACACACACACACGCACACACACTCTTGCACATGCATACAGGTGCTTATACGTGCACACACATACACACATAGTGCCTTGTCCTTTAGAACCATAGGGGGGGTTTTACGAGGGGAGGTGCTTGCGTAAACTGTAACTGTCATGGAAATAAATAGCTGCAAGAAGGGCTGCTTGTTGAAGAAGTTGGGTTGGAGACAGGTGAGGAGCGTTGAGCTCCAAGAGCTTGGTTCCAACCAACCTTCCCTTGCTAGCAAGTAAAAGCCAGTTGAAGATGTTCATCTTTTTTTTGTCGTTAACGAGCAAGGTTATTATCGTTAACGAAAACTAACGAAATAACGAAATAACGAAAACTAGAAGTGAAAAAACATTTTCGTTAACGGAAATAAAAATAAAAACAAAAACAAAAAAAGGAAAACTAACTAAAACTATAATGAGTGTTCACAAAACTAACTAAAATTAACTGAATTTATAGCAAAAATGTGTTTAGTTTTCATTGATGTGTGCGTGTGTTTCTTCAAGGGTGAAAATGAAGTTTAGGTTACAGATTTTTTTTCTTGCTGTCT